TTCCAGGTTTAGGTTCTGTTCAGGCTGAGGTTTGGATCCAGGTTTAGATTCTAGTTCAGGTTTAGCTCCAAGTTTAGGCTTGGTTCCAGGTTTAGGTTCTTTTCAGGCTGAGGTTTGAATCCAGGTTTAGGTTCTGGTTCAGGCTTAGGTTTAGGTTATGGTTCAGCCTGAGGTTTGGGTCCAGGTTTAGGTTCTGGTTAAGGCTCAGGTTTAGTTTGGGTCCAGGTTCAGGTTTAGGTTCTGGTTTAGGCCCAGGTACAGGGCTAGGTTTAGGTCCAAGATAAGGTTTGGGTCCAGGTTTAGGGTTAGGTTCAGGTTCTAGTTGAGGTTTATGGTTAGGTTAAGGTTTTGGTTTAGGTCCAGGCTTAGGCTTGGTTCCAAGTCTAGGTTCTTTTTAGGCTGAGGTTTGGGTCCAGGTTTAGGTTCTGGTTAAGGCTCAGGTTTAGTTTGGGTCCAGGTTCAGGTTTAGATTCTGGTTTAGGCCCAGGTACAGGGTTAGGTTTAGGTCCAAGATAAGGTTTGGGTCCAGGTTTAGGGTTAGGTTCAGGTTCTGGTTGAGGTTTATGGTTAGGTTAAGGTTTTGGTTTAGGGTCAGGCTTAGGCTTGGTTCCAGGTTTAGGTTCTTTTTAGGCTGAGGTTTGGGTCCAAGTTTAGGTTCTGGTTCCAGGTTTAGGTTCTGGTTTAGGCCCAGGTTTAGGCTTGGTTCCAGGTTTAGGTTCTTTTTAGGTTGAGGTTTGGGTCCAGGTTTAGGTTCTGGATCCAGATTTAGGTTCTGGTTTAGATCCAGGTTTAGGCTTTATTCCAGGTTTGGGTTCTGTTGAGGCTGAAGTTTGGGTCCAGGTTTAGGCTTGGTTCCAGGTTCAGGTTCTGTTCATGCTAGGCTTTGGATCCAGGTTTAGATTCTGGTTTAGGTTTAGGTCCAGATTCAGGCTTGGTTCCAGGTTTAGGTTCTGTTCAGGCTGAGGTTTGGATCGAGGTGTAGATTTTGGTTTAGGTTTAGGTCCAGGTTTAGGTTCTTTTCAGGCTGAGGTTTGGATCCAGGTTTAGGTTCTGGTTTAAGTTTCGGTCCAGGTTTAAGCTTGGTTCCAGGTTTAGGTTCTGTTCAGGCTGAGGTTTGGATCCAGGTTTAGATTCTGGTTTAGGTTTAGGTCCAGGTTTAGGCATGGTTCCAGGTTTAGGTTCCTGTTTAGGCTGAGGTTTGGATCCAGGTTTAGGTTCTGGTTTACGTTTAGGTTCAGGATTAGGTTCTGGTTCAGGCTCAGGTTTAGGTTCTGGTTCAGGCTGAGGTTTGGGTCCAGGTTTAGG